AAATTGTCAAAACTTCACGTTTTCAGCTGGTGAGGTTTGGCAGTTGGAAGCTATTCATTGTCAAGGGTGCCGATCCACTATTTCCATGTGATCCAGCTAAGAATTTGTAAAAAAATGCTTCTACAAGCTGCACATAGCTGAGATTATTTAATTAATTGACGTTAACGTTTCGGCTACAAACTGTCAAAATTTGACGTTTCTAGTTCGTGCGGTTTCGAAGTTGGGAGCCCATCACTGTCAAGCGTGCCGTTCGCTTTTTACCATTTAATTCACTAAAAAAATTTTTTTAAATTATTTTTTCAAGTTTCACATAGACGAATTTTTATAGGTAATTGACACTGACGTTGCGGCCACAAGCTCTCCAAAATTTACATCTCCAGCTGGTTTACTTTCGAAGTTGAGAGTTGTTTATTGTCAAGTGCACCGATCGCTTTCATCCGTGTTATTCAGTTTGCAAATTTGATAATAGTGTTTCTAAAAGTTTTACACGAATAACGCTGTTGGGGACTGGAGGCAGACGTTTCGACTACAAATTGTCAAAACTTCACGTTTTCAGCTGGTGAGGTTTGACAGTTGGAAGCTATTCATTGTCACGGGTGCCGATCCACTATTTCCATGTGATCCAGCTAAGAATTTGAAAAAAAAATGTTTCTATAAGCTGCACATAGCTGAGATTATTTAAGTAATTGACGTCGATGTTTCGGCAACAAACTATCAAAATTTGACGTTTCTAATTCGTGTGGTATGGAAGTTGGCTGCTCATCACTGACAAGTTCGCCGTTTGCTTGTTACCAAGCGATTCAGTAAAGATTTTAAAAATACATATTTTTTGAAGTTTCACATAGATAAATTTTTTAAATTAATTGACATTGACGTTGCGGCCACAAACTGTCAAAGTTCGACATCTTCAGGTGGTTTAGCTTCGAAGTTGGGAGCTATTTATTGTCAAGTGCACCGTTCACTTTTCGCTATATTTTCCAGTTTACGAGTGTTTACAAAAATTTCTAGAATCTTCACATGACTGACACTTTTTAATTAATTGACGTTGACGTTTCGGTCACAAACTGTCAAAGTTTGACGTCTTTAGCGGGTTTAGTTTCGAAGTTGGGACCTATTCATTGGCAAGTGCACCGTTCGCTGCCAACTGCCAAATTTTGCAAATTCGACACACGTTTGGTCAACTAAGCAATCAGGCTGGGCGATCCGAGATGGAAAATACCTTCAAATTTCGATTATTCACGATTTTATAATGCCACTGTCTACTTTACGCACAATTTGCTGGGCTAAGAGCATGACGAAGTGCAAAATTTCGGCCCTTCTAAGCAAAAATGCATACGCAAAGTTCCAACAGGCTGGATTTTCTGAAAAAATAACGAATTTGACGCATTCTTGCTGCACTGTGAGCATGACTAAGCAATTAATTACGGAAGAAATCAGAGGCAAACCTCCTCCAAATCTCGATTATTGAAGATTTTTCAAAGGCGGCACTTATTTTACGCAAAATTTTATACGCTAAGAGCATGACTAAGTCAAACATTTGGGCAATTTTCCGAAGAATGCACATCGAAATCTTGACCACTCAAGATTTTCCAAAAAGTGTGCAAATTCCACGCACCTTTGATGTCTAAGAGCATGAGTAAGTAACCAATTGGGTCGATCCGAGATGGAAAAAGTCAATTAAATTTCAATTACTGAAGATTTTAAAAATATTTTAAAAATGTTTCGGTTGTTTGACTTGGGCTAAGAGCATGACTATGCATTAAAATTTCGCGTTCCAATGCAGAATCGGCATAAAAACATTGAATCAATAAAATTCGCGGAAAATTGTTAGAGGCTTGAGGACATTCGACACTGAGACATACTAAGAGCATGAACTAACAAGAACTTTTTGCCTAAGAATGTATTAACAATTTTCGGATGTTTGCCGTCGGCTAAAAGCATGACTATGCAATAAAACTATGCGGCCCCATGCTAAAACGACACAACAAAATTGATCAATAAAATTCACATATATTTTTTGTCAACTATAACTCGTTTAACACTGACACACTAAGAGCATGACTATGTTCGACAAACATGTTCAAATAATCGCAGAAATACTGTACATAGAAGCTCGGGGAAAAACTTTTATGACAAAAGCGACAGAGAGGAATTTTTTGAAACTGTTTTCAGCTTCCGCAACTGGCCGCAAGGGGGCGAATTTGAAATCTGAAAATTAAAAATCGCAGTTTCTGCAAAAAATCCCCAATTCATTGCATACTTTTGGCCACCTGGGCACCAAGCTGGAGGAGTTTTGCCTAGTTTTTGCTAGAAGCCCTATGACGTCAGCCGCTTGTTTCAGGGTGGGGGAAGGCTTTGAATGCGTCATACTTTAAAGCGCTATAACTTGCAAACGCCTGCTGCGATTTGAGAAAACTTTGTTTTGTCTAATTGCTGCCTCTTTTCAAAAAGCTTTTCCTGCTGGGTTTAAGCCTTTTTTACCAAACTGACCTTAGAGGAAGGGCTGCAGATCCAGAGATTCCATCCAGGCCTTTGCCTAATGAATGAACGAGTTTAGGGGCCCAAAAATGGATTACAGGGCCCTCAGTCCATCCCATGGAGGCCTCAAAAGCAGGCGCAAGTGATTGTGCTCTTTTCCAGCTGAAACAGTCGAGTTTAAGGATGATTTGTTAAAGGAACGTGCCAAATACACTGAACGGGTCCAACAAGCAAACCATCATCAATTCTAAGTGGGTTTGGCTGCTGATTGAAAAACTAGCCAATAAAGCCTGTTCAGGGGCCTTTTCCACCGGTAAATCGTTAGAAATTCGCTGAAAATCAACCAACAAAAACCCGCGCGGGGTTTTGAGGTTACTTCAGCCGGTGGGCCCCAATTCACGGGCCGAAACTTACCGAAGATTAGGGCGGAAGTTTGCAGATGTAAGTTGGCCTCAGAAACCGGCGATAAAAGCACCAATAACTAAAAAACAATAACTAATGGAACATAAACATAAACAAACTAATTGACAAACGGTCACACTGTCAACCAACCTGTTGCCTTGTTGCTTGAGCGGCATCGTGCGGCGTTGCCATTGGGGTGTTGGAAAAACTTTGTCGCTTTTCCTGTTATTTCCGGGTGAATCAACTGGGAAAACATCTGAAAATTTTGGAACTAATTCTGGCAGTTGACTGCAATGGTTGGAAAATCAGAAAATAGTAGGTATTTTTGTTGGTTGGGTACACGTCCAGGCCGTCTATGTGTCTCTGTTTGATACATGCAAGTAGAAAGGGACAGCAGATGGGGCTTCTAAGGAAACATTCGTTTCGGTAGTTTATTACACTGTTTAGGCACGTGTGAGAATGAGCGATATTTAGATGTAAATTTACAACAATTTTTATTTTCTACATTGAAAAATGTCAAAAAATGTTTTTTTACATTCATTTCACTACTAACCAGAAAAAAAACAGAGAGAGTAGCAACTGGCGATTTTTTGTGTTTTTCTAACTTTGCTTGTTTTAGAGCTCGATAAATTTGTCCTGTAGGAAAAAGACGTTTTCTTCCAAAAACCCATTTTGGGCTCTCCATTGCGACTAGAATTTGTCTCCAAAACTGGTCAGAAGTTTGAAAATTTTTTCTTTTTAATTTTCGCATTACTATTTAAAAAAAAAGTATTTTATTTGCGTTTATTGATTAATCAATGCATTTTCTGTTAATTTTTTTTCCATTAATTACTAATTAATTAAAAGGATTTTTATCTAACGCTTAAATGTTCCTAAAGATTTAGCTCAGCAGGATCTTACTCGACCTTCCAAATCTCATTTCCTGCTGGCTTTTGAACCGAGTAAAATTTGCTAATTGGTGATTTTTAAAGAAGATCGAGCGCTTTCCAATGAAGTTTTATTTTTCCAAATCCGACTGGTATTAAGAGAGTTACGCGTCAAAAGTTCCCTGCAGGAAAAGTGTTTTCCAAAAATTAGTTTTTTGGGCCTTGAATACCTTCTTCTCTCATTTAAAGCATAAATATTCCAAAATATTTTGCTCAGCACGATCTTACTCGACAATTTAAACTCTGATTTCCTGCTGGCTTCTTAACCGAGTAAAATTTGCAAACTGGTAATTTTTAAAGAAGATTGAACGCTTTACAATCAAGTTTAATTTTTTTTAAATCCGACTCGTTTCAAAATAGTTACGCGCCAAAAGCTCCCTGCAGGAAAAGTTTTTTTCAAAAACTCGTTATTTCGACCTTGAATGCGGGGTCCACTCATCTAAAGGATAAGTAGTTCTAAATATTTGGCTCAGCAGGATGTTACCCGACCTTTCAACTTTCATTTTCTGCTGGTTTTCCAACCGAGTAAAATTAGCAAATTAGTGATTTTTAAGGAAGATTGAGCGTTTTACAATCAAGTCTAATTTTATCAAATCCGACTGGTATCAAAAGAGTTACGCGCGGAAAGTGCCCTGCAGGAAAATGGTTTTCTTTTCAAAAATTCGTTTTCTGGACCTTAAATGCGTTGTGCACTCATCTTAAGCATAAATATTGCAAAATATTTGGCTCAATAGGACCGTAATCGAATTTCCACCTATCATTTCCTGTTGGTTTTTCAACCAAGTAAAATTTTTAAAACTGCGATTTTTAAAGAAGGTCGAGTGCTTGACAATGAAGTTTTATTTTTCGAAATCCGACTAGTATTAAGAGAGTTACGCGTCAAAAGGTCCCTGCAGGAGAAGTTTTCAAAAATCAGTTTTTGGGCTTTAAATGAGTTGTGCGCTCATCTAAAGCATAAATATGCCAATATATTTGGCTCAGCAGGATCTTACTCGACCCATCAACTTTCATTTCCTGCTGGTTTTTCAACCGAGCAAAATTTGCAAATTGGCGAATTTTAAAGAAGATTGAGCGCTTTGCAATGAAGTTTTATTTTTTCCAATGCGACGGGTATTAAGAGAGTTACGCGTCAAAGGCTCCCCGCAGGAAAAGTATTTTTTTCAAAAATTTGTTTTTTAGACCTTGACTGCGTTGTGCACTCATCTAAGGCATAAATATTTAAAAAATTTGGCTCAGCACTATCTTACTTGACCTGTAAAACCTCATAACCTGCAGGTTTTTTAACCGATTAAAATTTGTAAATGGGGGATTTTTAAAGAACATTTTGCGCTTTACAATAAAATTTGAAATTTTATTGTCTCAAATCCGGCTGGTATTAACAGAGTTACGCGACAAAACTTTCATGCAGGAAAAGCCAGTATTTTTCACAAAAACGCAACAGCAGGATTATTCTAATTAATAATTCTCATGCCCTGCCGGATTTTTAAATGACTAAGTTTTGCAATTTTTTAAAAAATCCAACTGGTATTAAGAGAGTTTTGCCAGAAATTGTCCCTGCAGGAAAGTAGGTTTTCTCGTAAAAATAATTTTTTGTTGGGCATTCATCTAACGCATGAATATTCTGAAATTTTTAGCACAGCACACAGCAGGCCTTCACTTCACTTCAATTATAATTTTTTCAATCATTTCATAGTCAAGGCGCAATTTTGCCAAAAGCTTATGTTTCCTGCAGGGACACTTCCTTGCATAACTCTCTTAATAGAGGTCGGATTTGAAAAAATCAAACTTTATGTAAAAGCTGGCAATTTTCTTTAAAACCACCCATATTGCAAATTTTAATCAATGCCAACATCTGCAGGACATGGGGATTTAACGAAACCGATTGATCTAAGTGTTCAGGAATATTTTTGCGTTAGAAGATCGCCCCGGGCATTTAAGGTTGGAAAAACGAATTTTTACAAAAAATTGCTTTCCTGCGGGAAATTTTTTTAATGCTCGTCGGATTTCAAAAAATCAAACCTCATCAAAAAGCGCTCAATTTTCTCTGAAAAATGCCAATTTTCAAATTTTGATCGGTTCATAAACCTGCAGGATTTAGGCCTGGAAAAAAGTCAAATTTAAAAAAATTAACCCTTATAAAAAGCGCGCAAGTTATTCTAAAAATTGTCAATTTCAACGTCCCAACCGGCAGAATAAACGTCAACCAGACAGAAAATGTGAAATTTTCCAAAACTAATCGGCGAAGATTTCCAGCCCAAGCGCGCAACCACGCCCAACGCTCCCTACCATGGTCAATCTGGCACCGCCGCGCCACCAAAACCAGTCACCCTCTGACTCGCCTCCTGTCAGTGTCAGTCAGTCAGTCAGTCGCGTGCAAGCAGGAACGTAGCGAGCAGTAGAAGCTTCGGATTGTTCGGCTTGAATGTGTTTGATGTTTTCATTGAATTTGCGTGTTTCGTGCCCTTCGTCCATCATCAGCCCCGTGAAATATGTGATTCGCAGTCCGGCGCCCCTAAAGTTAACGTCGTAATCGCCAAAAAACAGGCAGCTGTTCGCTGGCCAGGTGAACCGACCGTTACCAGGTTCTAACGTTTCGGTTCCGGTGGTTCGAAAAAAGCGCCCGAAAGCGCATCAAATAGGGGAACGGGTTCAGTGTTTTGTGGTGGGTTTTTGTGCGATTGGGGCCCCACCAATGCTGGATTACCCGACGAGTCAGGATGGGCTGCTCCAGCTGGAGGGCAGCGTCCTGGAGGGCGTCATTCAGAAGGCGAACATCCTGGAGGTTTACGAGGTGGACAAGAATCCGCTCGGCAGGTACGTTTCGTTCTCTAATTTATCCATATTGGGCTGATAAGGCTTATCGATAAAACTGTCCGGCTGACATTCCGAGAGAATTTGCCAACTTTTCTATGTTATCTCGGGCTCCGTCACTCTGACGGGCGCCTGTCGGCCCCCCAAGTGTGGGTAAACAATAAACGCTTGCTCCCCTGGACGGGGCCCTTCAGGGCCCCCTTTTCTAGAGAATTTCTGTTTCTCTACTTTGTCTCAACTGTGTCTAAAAATTCCTAACTGACAAACT